GCCGTGGCCGGCGCGCCCGGGCCCGCGCTGCCTCCCGCCACGGGGGACGCCACCCTGGCCTTCGTCTTCGACGTCACCGGCTCCATGTGGGACGACCTGATGCAGGTGATGGACGGCGCCTCGCGTATTCTGGAGCGCAGCCTGAGCCGCGGCGGTCAGGCCATCGCCAACTACGCGCTGGTGCCCTTCCACGACCCAGGTAGCGTCCCCGCGCGCAGCGCCCTGTCGCGGCGCGCTCACCGGCCCGGTCGCCCGGCGCACCTAGACTCGGGCGGGTTACACAGCTGCCGACCCGACCCTGGGCGCCTTCTCCGCACCTTCGCGCCGCTGGGACCCAGGGCACCTTTCAGCGGTCCCTCCCCTACCTCCCCTGGGACCGGCCCTCCCGGGGAACCGGCCCTCCCCTCTCCCGCACCTCCCGGTGGGCGCTGTCTAGTGACCGAGAGCCGGGACTCAGTGTTCAAATGTCGCAGCCAGCTCCGGCTGTGTTCAGCAGTGGCCTCACCTTCCTGACATGGGAGACCTGCCTCTGAAAGTTGCCCTACCCCACCCCGGATTTCCCCCTTCCTTCTCTCTGTCTCTGTCTCTCTCTCCTCCAAGCCCAGGCGCCCTACAGGCAAGAACCTTTACAAAGTTATCTGTGAAATAGTGACTAACAGCATGTGGCTGTGTCCTAAAGCTCAGTTACAATCCCTGGATCATCTACATATGTATGCCAGGCATACTCAGCAAGTTTCTGCACATGAGCTAGTAACCTTCCCACATGGGTCAGCCTTACAGAGCATCATATTTTACTACTGCACCATTGTCTGGCCCCTACCAGTCATTTTTACAGTGGTCCTCAGACTTGTCTTGGTATTTAAAACCCAAGTTGTGAGCCATGATTTTTATTTTGGTTGATCTCTCTCTGTATTAGCTCCTAAGTGCAGTATTTCTGAAAGTATGGTTCATGGACCATTTATATCAGAATTAACTGGAGTGTTTTTTACAAATTTAGGTTTTTAGACCCTGCCCTAGACCTACTGAGTCAGAATATCTGTTGGTGGAGCCTATGAAGTCAGCCTTTTCCAAAACTTCCCCGGGTATTTCTTGTAGATTCAATACATTTGAGAACACCAGATCCTTTTATATAGAGAATTATTAAGTAAACAACCACCAACTAGCTCTTACAGGAGCTTTGAAAAGGGACTCTTGGGCCAGCCAGGTGGTGTGGTCAAGGCAGGTGGATCTCATATGACTGACTGCATATGTGGTTTGAGTTCCAGATTCAATGGATTAAAGAACATGCCAGGTGCACATGTGTGTACCCAAGATCTCAAGATGAGAATGGAGGAGACAGGACTGTGGTATGGTTGTCCTCCCCTAGGGAAGGTTGCTTCTTCATTTTGTCTCTCTCTCTCTCTCTGCTGAGCTCATGTGCCCCACAGCAAATTTTATTCAAAAGAACCTTTACAAAGTTATCTGTGAAATAGTGACTAACAGCATGTGGCTGTGTCCTAAAGCTCAGTTACAATAAAAACGTGATGTTTAAAAGTGGGGACGACTTTGCAGAGCTGTGGCGATGCAGCCTTCCTCCCGGCTCCTGGCCTGTGCTTTCTGCTGCTGATTCTTGGAGTTGTTGGCTCCCAGCGTGGGCCTCACAGGCCAGAGCGCCCTGGAACGCCAGACTCAGGAGCAAAGTGGGGTCCACTAGGGCCTGCAGAGGGCTTCGGCTCTCCCTGTGCACCTTGCCCCTCACCTCTTCCTGGGAAGACAGCAACTTCCTTGCCTGCCCGGGGTCTACACCTGCCGGGTCTCCTCCAGGCCCCCCTACCCTGATTCTTCCCCTGCGTGCAGCACCTCTGCGTCTCAAGGAACCCCCCTTTCTTTCCTCCACCCTCTTTCCAGGTTTCGGCCATAGGGCGCATTTGCTTTCCAGAGAGAGACAGAGAGGGAAAAGTGAGAAATCTATCACCCACCCCAGGGAGGGTGGCCATGCTGCAATCCCTTCTCCACTCCCCTCAGACCCTGAGCACCCAGTGTTGGAGCATCCCTTGAAAGGGGTCCCTGAAAAGTCAGTGCTAGGGAGAAGGGCTGTGGGTGTTCTTTGTGTTCCCGACCTTGAGAGGCAGGGCCCTGTCCCCAGCACCTTTTCGTTAATGAGAAATTTCAAACTTACAGCAAAATGGGCCTGGGGAGAGGTTACGTGGGACGCCTGTGTGCCCTCCGTCCAGAGCCCGGGATTTGTGTGCTCTATGTGTTTTGTCACATCTCCACCTACCCACCCCTCCATCCAGAAGTGTACCTTCATAAGCCAACACAAAGGCTCCAGGTGTCTAGTGGCACAATGGTGAAACACCACACTCTGTGAGGGAGTCCCACATGGGAGGGTTCCTGGTTCAAGTCCAGGGACCTCCCTGGAAGGACAAGCATATGCGTGTCCAGGATCCGGGGCTGGCCGGCTGAGGCTGGGGGCAGACGGCAGTAGGACCCTCTTAGGCTCCTGTCTCTCTGCCGCTCTTGGTCATGGAAGAAATATGAACAAGAATGAACAACATGAAATATTAACAAATAAACCATCCCAAGAAAAGAAAAAAATGACAGATTCCTTGCAAAATGGTATTGCAAATGTTCCTGTCTAAGAAAATGCAAGGGGATTTCAAAAGATTTGTGGGCAAATGGAGTTAAAGTACGAATTTCTTTGGTGGAAATCTTAAAATCCACTTGTTTTGTGATAAGCATTTTTATGAACATGTTGTAGACCCTTCATATGCAGTGATCAAAGACTATGAGCTAGAAAGCACTTCTAGAAGAATTTGCATTATTCATTTATTTTTAAAGAGAGAGGGAGAGAACCCCCCCCCCCCCGGGGGGAGGGCCAGGCTGCCCCTTCCCCTTCATTCTCCTCTGGGTGGATGGCCATGCTGCACCTTCTCCTTCATTCTCCTCTTGGGACTTTGCGCACGCACACACATGCACCCAGTATATTTTTCTAACTGCCAGATCTGAGACTTGAACCACATAGTTGGCCATGTGCGATCGAGCCACCTTACCCACCATGCCACCAGCTGACTTTAGAAAAATTTGCATTATTAACTATGACTTCATTATAGGTACTTGAAAAATGGGCCACAGTGGTGAGAGACAATTTCAAGGAATTTGGAGGCTGAGTTTTGGGGACCCCTCTGCTTCCAGGAATTTGGGGCTCCATAGGACTCTGCAACTCAAAGTCCAGAAGCCAGGCAAGGTTCTGGGAAAAATCAAATGGACAGCTTCCATCTGGGAGAGTGGGGGCAGCAAGGCTGGGGGTTGTGAGCAGATCGGGCGTGAGGTGCATTCTGGGCTTCAGCCAGGACACAGGTCATCTGCTCCCTCCTCAAGTCTCTCACCCCCTTCTGGATTGCTCTTGGGCTTCCAGACAGCACACTGTGGGAGCTTAGAGATCATCTACTCCACTGCTTGATCTTACATTTGGAGAATCTGAGACACAGGACACCAGCGAAACTTCCCCCAAGGCGGCCAGCCAGGGTGAAAGAAGTCCTGACTCACACCCATATTTGTCTCTCAAATGCTTGGCTCACTTGCAGGGCAGGAGCCAGACCTCGAGTCCCAAGACTCAGACCAGGCTCTCAGGCTGTCCTTGCTTCTCGCTGTCTGGCCATCAGCTTTGAGAATCCTCCTGCCACCCCTCCCCGCACGCCCTCGCCTCTGGGGGTGACATGCAAGTCTCTGAACTTCCCACGCTCCGCCCTCACCCTACCCACAGCACACAAAACCCAGTCCTCTTCCAGCTTCCCCAAAATACCCTCTCCAGAGATGCCCAGGTACAGGCGTGGAAGGGACTTCAGCATTAACTGAGCCCCGATGTGTGTGGGGCCCACTGAGGCTCACAGTGTGAAGCCATCAGTGTTAATGACAAAAAGCCAGCCTGAGGGACAGGCCAGGTGGGGAGTAGAAAGGGTGTGCCGGCTCAGCTCCCAGCTCCTGCCCAGCAGTGGCCAGTGGGGAGGGCACTAACCAAAGTTCTGCAGACCCAGCGTGGGGCAGGTCTGGAGGAACAGGACTGGACAGTGTGCCGGGCAGATTCTGGGCACTGGGGTACAGCTGGGACAGAGGATTCTGGGGATGCTCGGAGCCAGCTGGATAAGGACTGGGTTGGAGGACAGACTGCGCTGACATGTGGGGACAGGTGAAGGAGGCAGGGTGCAGGAGGGAAGTGGCGGAGCAGGGAGGGGCCCAGTCGCGGGACAGGGTAAGGGACGCTGAGGAGCTGCAACACCACTTTCCTTCTATGGGCTGAGCAGGGCTTGGGCCGTGGCTTAGGACTGGCTGTGTCTTTTGAATCAGCAAACAGAGCTCCCTTCTGCGGAAAAGGAGCTGGGGAAATAAGGTCTCAGCTGACTTAAAGGAAGCCCCATCCTGAACCCTGAGGTGGGGTGGGCGGGGTGAACAGCAGTGGGTCTGGATTCCAGGGACTTGGAGCAAACCAGCACAGTGCTTTGGAAATACTTATTAAAGCTTTTAAGTGAAAAAGAAGTGATTTTCAGTCAGCTCTGCTCTATTAAAATGTTACAAAAAGCACTCTCGTGTAAGTCTTCGTCTGCATCTTTGGTTATTTTTTTCCCTAGATTAAGTTCCTCGAAGTGGAATTTCTAGGCCATTTTTAACACTCTGAGTGGGCCAGCGACTTTTCAAGTGGTTTTCCGGAATGTTTTGGGAGTTTAAACATCTTCCAGAAGCTTTTGAAAGGCCTGTTTCAGTATCCCGCCCCCAGTCCTGGGATGCAGACTCCCCACCCACCCACCCCCAACTCAAAAGATGAGGAATGATAGCACTTTTATTTTTAGAGAGAGAGATTCTTTGCTATAGGGCACATGTGCTCTCGGAGAGACAGAGAGAAACAGACAGAAAGTCTCTCCCCAGGGGGGATGGCAATGCCCTACCTTCTCCTACATTTTCCTTTCTGGATTTGGGGCACATATGCACACACACCGAGCAAGAGTTTCAAGCCACTGGGTCTGGGACTCAAACCATGGTCAGCCATGTGGGAATCCAGCACCTTAACCACCATGCCGCCTGCCAGCCTAGCACTTGTTTTAATTGCTGCTGAGGCCCAATACATTGATAAGTGTTCACTAAGGTTTCGTGTGCGTTTTTAGTTGGTATGGGGACTTTCTGTCACTGATATTAACTGATTTTTGTTACGTGGTAAATATTTTT